ACCTTCTGTATCCCTGACCTAGTCCCAGATCTTGAGTGGTCTGTGCTGGAAGACCGTACGGACCATTTCTCAATTCTTCTAAAAAAAACAATAGCCTCCAAAACGACCCGATCCCAGAACGCTTCAACTTCAAAAGAGCTGACTGGGACGGGTTTGCCTATCAATGTTCCCAGATTCTGAACCCCACATTCGACCTCAACAACAATAAATTCCACGAAAAGCTTTTAGAAATATGCCACAAACACATACCAAAAACAAAACCCCGGAAGAACAAGATCTGGTTCTCTGGAGAATGTGAGGACGCAGTAAAGAAAAAGAAGGCAACGTATCGAAAGACCGTCAACAACACCACCATAGAAAACAAGATGAATTATTTAAAGGCTCGAGCTGTGGCACGTAGATGCCTCAGGGAGAGCAAAAGACAATCCTTCAAAAAATACATCTCCAAAATCAACAGACAGACTCCACTCAACCAAGTTTTCAAAATCGCTAAAAAAAAATTCTTGGGAAGACGCACAGACACCATTCGGCACGTCCAGCTTGAGGCCGAATGGAACCATAGCTGAAACACAAGTAGACATCGCAAACACAATAGCTACATCTCTCGCCAAAAACTCATCCCATGCAAACTACAACACCACTTTTCAAAACATCAAAACACCTAAACTTCCACTCAAACAACACTGAAACCTACAACGCAAACTTCACAATAGACGAACTAACATCGTGCATCTCGGACCTGGGCAACACAGCCCCGGGACTGGATGACATCCACAACCAGATCATTAGACACTTAGAGCTACCCTCAGAAACACTTACACTCCTACTAGACATATACCACGACATGTGGCGGTCGCGCTCCTTTCCGGGGTCTTGGCGTCTCGCCACTGTCATTCCAATACCCAAACCAAACAAAGACCACACACACCCATCCAATTACAGACCAATTGCACTATCGAGCTGTCTGTGTAAACTTATTGAAAAAATTATTCACAGGCGACTCATTTGCTTTGTGGAGACGATGGGCTCGCTGAGCGGTCTCCAGTGCGGATTCAGGAAAACTCGACCCACTCTGGATCACTTGGTCCGCCTGGAGACCTTTATACGCGAGACGTTCACTGAAAGAGGCCACATGGTCGCCATCTTTTTCAACCTAGAAAAAGCCTACGACACAACCTGGAAGTACGGAATTCTCAAAGACCTGCACTCGGCATACGCGGTCACCTCCCTGCCTTCAGCGGCAACTTCCTGAAGAACCGTTCCTTCCAGGTTCGTGTCTGATCCTCCCTTTCAGACCCCCACCAACAGGAGGAAGGATTCACCCAAGGAAGCATCCTTTCTCCTCTCCTATTTGAAATCAAAATAGATTCCATCGTTAAAACCCTCCAAAACAGCATTGACGGCTTTTTGATATGCTGTCGTTCGAAAAATTCTCATCTGAGATCTATGGAAAGGCAGCTGCAAACGAAGCTGCACAAACTCGAAAAGTGGGTAAACAATAACGGTTTCAAGTTCTCCACGTCAAATACGGTTGCAGTACACTTTTGCCGAACAGGCAGACGTGTGCTGCAGCCGGATTTGACACTATACCGGTACGGGGAAAGGATTCCCGTCCAGGACCAGGCTCGTTTCCTCGGCGTTATATTCGACAAACAACTCACATTCTATGAACCAAAAAACCCAAACCTAGTTGTCTTGCCGAGCAAGAGAGAGAGAGAGAGAGA